GGGGAAGAGGGGGAAGGAATGTGCCAGGGGATAAGGGAAGCCGGGGGAAGGTCAATGGGGGAAAAAGGAGACATATGTACAGTGGGGCCTTGACTTACGATTGTCCTGCCTAACGAGTTTTTCGAGATACGAGCCGTCTCTCAGCTGATTTTTTGCTTTGAGTTGCGAGCTAAAATTCGGGTTACGAGCCAGCTTCAGATACCCCACCGCTAGTTGGCGCAGCGAACATCACAGTGAACGCCACAACATCAATAAAACAAACATCAACAAATTTAAAAGTATGTAATTTATATGGCACACATTCTCAAACCACAATGAAATAATTAGAAATTAGCAATAGAAAGACAACAGGAAATTCTCCAATCAATGGAAACTAAACAACATACCTCTGAACAATCTATGAGACAAAGAAGTCTCAACTGAAATCAAAATACATCCTGAACTGAATAAAAATGAAAATATAACAATCAAAAACTGTGGGTGTCAGCTAAAACCCTGCTAAGAAATCCTATATAATAAAAGGCTAATATGCAAATTGACCTCTCCACTGGGAGTTCCACTGGAGTTCGACCAGGGGGCGGGGCTAGCTGGCCAACCGCCCCCAGCCCCTCCCCCGATCTGGGGCAGGGCGGGCCAGCCAACCTCCTATATCCTCTCCCCCCTGCTGGCCCAGCCTGATCAGCCCCAATCAGGGTGTGCCAGCTGGACCCCACCCATGCACAAATTCATGCACCGGGCCTCTAGAGTTTATTATATAAACCCACACAACAAACAGAAAAGAGAAAAAAGAGTCAAACCAACAATCTAAGCTCACATATGAAGAACCCAGGGGAAAAAAGGGGGTGGGGGCAAAATAAACCCAAAGCAAGCAGGAGGAGGAAAATAACAAAGAACAGAAATTAATAAAACTTAGAAAAAAATAGCAAACAAGTTTTTAAACATCAACAAAGAGCTGATTCTTTGAAAAAAAAATCAACGTTGACAAACCTCTAGCAAGACTGATAAAGGGAGAGAGAGAGAGAGAGAGAGAGAGAGAGAAAGAGAGAGAGAGAGAGAGAGAAAGGACACAAATTACCATTATAGGAATGAAATAGAATATCACCACAGAGATCCTGCAGACATCAAAAGGGTAACAAGGGAATACTACCAATACTAAAAACTTACACAAAATAGACCAATTCCTCAAAAACACAAACTACCACAGTCACTCAATATGAAACAGATAATCTGAATAGTCCTATATGCTATTATGATATTTAAAATCATAATTTTTTTAAAAATATGTTTTTATTGATTTCAGAGAAAGGAAGGGAGAGGGAGAGAGGGATGAAACATCAATGATGAGAGAGAATCATTGACTGGCTGCCTCCTGCATGCCCCCTACTAGGGATTGAGCCTGCAACTGGGGCATGTGCCCTGGCAGAGAAAAGAGCCGTGACCTCCCGGTTCATGGGTCAATGCACAACCACTGAACCACACTGGCTGGGCTAAAATAACAATTTTAAATCCCCTCAAAAGAAATGAACAGGCTCAGATGATTTCAATGGTTTAAAGGTGTTTAAAGAATAATGAACCCCAATTCTACCCAAGCTCTTCCATAAAAAAGTAGGAGATGAAGCACTTCCCAATCCTCTTTTAAAGTTAGTATTACCCTGACACCAAAACCAGACAAAGTACAAAAAAAAAAAGAGAGACTACTACAGACCAATTCCCTCATGAATACAGACACAAAAATTATTAACAAAGTATTTGAAAATAGATTTGAGCAATATATAACAAGAATTCTACACTATGACAAAGTGGGGTTTATTCCAGGGCTGCAAGGCTAGTTCAACAATAGAAATCAATCATATTAATCATATAAAGCTAAAAAAAAATCACATTATTATATTGATCAATGCAGAAAAAGCATTCAACAAGTCAATTTGTTCATGATATAAAAGCTCAGTAAAAAATAGGAATAGAGCAGAACTTCACCTTGGTTGAGCATCTATAAAATATGTACAACATACTTAATAGTGAAAGACTGAAAATGGGGATGTCCACTCTTATTCAACACAGTGCTAGAAGTTCCAGCCAGGGCAATATATCAAGAAAAGAAGATAAAAGGAAAAAATAAAACAGTCCATATTTGAAAACAATATGATACAGAAAACAGAAGGAATCTATTCTTCTTAGATCAAAAGAAATCTACGAAAAAATCTCCTAAAACTACTAAGTTCAACAAATTCACAGAATGTAAAGCAAACATTTTTAAAAAACACAACTGTATTTATAGATATGAACAACAAACCAGTATCAAATATAATACTATTTATAATCACTCAAAAAAAGAATTAAATACTTAGGCACATCTACCAAAACATGTACTGGATTTATATGCTGAAAACTGCACAATGCTGATGAAAGGAATCAGAGAAAAGCTAAATAAATGGGTTAGAAAATTCAACACAGTAAAGATGTCAATCTCTCCAAATTGATATACAGTTCAATGCAATTCCTAACAGGATTTTTTGTACATATAAACAAAATATTCTAAAATGTATATGGAAAGGCAAAGGAACTAGGATAAAACAATTTAAAAATGAAGAATAAAGTAGGAGGAATAAATCTGCCCAATTTCAAGACTTATATAGTTATAGTAATCAAGACTGTGGTATTAACAAAGGGAGAGACATGTAGATCAATGGAACAGAGAACCCAGAAATAGACTCACACAAAATGCTCAACTGATTTTTGAGAAAGGCGAAAAGAAATTTAATGGAGGAAAGACAATCTTTTCAACAAGTAGAGTAATAGAATATAAACAGGCTAAAACAAACAAACAAACAAAAACCCTTAACCATTGTCTCACACTTTAAGTCAAAATGGATATGGACTTAAATGTAATACGTAAAACTACAAAACTTTTATTTTTTAAAAATGTGGGAAAAATATCTTTGCGATCCAGGACTAAGAAATACTAGATTTGACACTAAAAGTATGATCCACAAAGGAAAAAATTGATAAATTAAACTTCATCAAATGAAATACTTTGGCTTTGCAAAGAACATTAAAAAAGTGGCCCAGCCCTAACTGGTTTGGCTCAGTGGATAGAGCGTCGGCCTGTGGACTGAGGGGTCCCAGGTTCGATTCCGGTCAAGGGCATGTACCTTGGTTGTGGGCACATCCCCAGTAGGGGGTGTGCAGGAGGCAGCTGATCGATGTTTCTCTCTCATCGATGTTTCTGACTCTCTAACCCTCTCCCTTCCTCTCTGTAAAAAAATCAATAAAATATATATTTTTTTAAAAATGGCCCAGACAACCTGACTCTGGTTGAGCATCAACCTATGAACCAGGAGGTCACAGTTCAATTCCCAGTCAAGGCACATGAGCCGGTTGCCTGCTAGATCTCCAGTGTGGGGTATGCAGGAGGTGGCCAATCAATGACCCTCTCATCACTGATGTTTCTATCTCTCTCTCCCTCTCCCATCCTCTCTGAAATCAATAAAAAAAAATATTTTTTTAAAAATGAAAAGACAAGCTACAGGCTGTGAGAAATATCTGCGAATTACCTATCTGACAAAGACTTGCCAGATTAGTGGTTGTCAAGGATTAAGGGGTAGGAGTGGGAGCAAAGTGAGCATGGCTATAAAATGATAAGGAGGGATCCTGTGGCAATTGAAATGTTCTGTACTTTAACTGTCAATATCCTGGTTGTAATGTTGTACTACAATTTTGTAAAATGTTTCAATTGAGGGAAACTAAAGGATATAAGGAGTATTCCTCATTTCTTACAACTCATGTGAATTTACAACTATTTCAAAATAAAGTCTAATTAAAACAAAAATTTTTTAAGTCAACAGTGAAAAGCACAATCATGACTAGTTACCACATAGTAATTTATGTGGAGTATCTAAACCTCAAACACACTGATTAACTAAATATTAGTAAATGTTAATTTTAACATTTACTGTAAATATAAATGCCTTAAAAGAAGAGAGTTACAGCCCTGCCAAGTAACTCAGTTGGTTGGAGGCATCACCCCCTACACCAAAAGACTATGGATTCCATTCCAGGGCACCTACGGGAGGCGATGGATCGATGTTTCTCTCTCACATCCATGTTTCTTTCTTCTCTCTCTTTCCCTACACCCCCTTCCCTCTCTCTCTAAAAAAAAAAAATCAATAAGCATATCCTCAGTGAGGATTAAAAAAAAGTGTGTTACATTTTCAATGCTACTGGTAAAAATCAAATGATTACATCTTCAAGCAAAAAATCTATATAATTCTACAGTGACGACTTGTCATTGAGATCTCAGAACTTGAGGCCTAATTCAGACAACATTTATGCTGCCCTGGCAAAATCTGGATTTTCTTAATCAATAGAGAAATTATTAAAAAACCAATGAATAATAATATGCACTTTCACTTGCCAAACACTGTTCTGGAAGTTTCCCTTCTGTATTTTTCATCTCTGACATTGAGACTATCCAGTGGTTCTCAACCTTCCTAATGCCGCCACCCTTTAAATACAGTTCCTCATGTTGTGGTGACCCTCAACCATAAAATTATTTTCGTTGCTACTTCATAACTGTAATTTTGTTACTGTTATGAATCGTAATGTAAATATCTGATATGCAGGATGTATTTTCATTGTTCGCGACCCACAGGTTGAGAACTGCTGTAAGGTAAACAATGGAAGCTCATTCAGCTATTCTGATAAATCTAACTAGAATAACTCTGTATCACCCACTATAACCTTGATATTTCTTAAGCCTTTCCAGTTCTAACTCAATGATAAAAAATATTTGGTGTAAACCACTTGTTTCTTATCTCCTCCACCAGTTCTGACTTCGTCGTCAGTTATTATTCTAAGTTTAGAGCAAGAAGAAATGTCCAGACAAAGCTTACTCAAAAAGATCTCCCAACATGCAATTTGGACTCAAATTTTGATCTTATTCTTTTTAAATTTCTGAAATTTACTACCACAATATATACTTTTAAAGTTTATATTCTTACAAATGATTTGTTCATGGCACGTTTCACTTCATCAGAACCATCTGAATAGATCTGCTGAAATAATTTGTTTAAAGCTGCATCTCCCTCCAATTTCTCATTCTTTTCTTCTTCCTTGATTTCTCCAACCAATTTATCCCAATTTCTTGTATAAAGAGATGATGATGGATATAGGTTCTTTACATCTACAGAGTAAAAAGAAGTGATTAATTAACATGTGTTGATTATGCCAAGAATATGTAAACTTTGTTACCATGGTGTAAAGAACACCTTAGCAAATAATAGGTGATTGAATTTCACTGAACTTAATGTTTGAAGTAAGTATCTTTCTGATAGACATCAATAATTAAATTTACACTTCTAAAAACTGAATCAACATAATGTAAAATACAGCAATCTCTTTTGACCAAAATAGTTCCATAAAACGTAAACTTTTGATACATTATGCAAAATTAGATGAAGAACAGATTCTTCATGTTAATCATAGGGGAAACTAAGTGAAAAGTATATAGAAACTTTTTTATATTTACAGAAAAGTTGCAAAGATAGTACAATTATAAAATTAATGTGTTTTTTAAGTTGCTTCATTCAGAAATTTCTCTTATAGACACGATTTTAATGTTAAAAATGTGACCTTTCCTAACATACTTATATATCTTCCAGAGTAGAAATAAACTGCAAATGTAAATAATTATCCATCCTATTCGGCAGTGAGTTAATTCATCCATTCTCTCCCCACATTAAAAATATCAGAATACTTCAATAGGAGATAATAAGAATCAGGTCCATAATATTAAAAAATACTATATGGGATGACCTAGAGTTCAATGCCCACACTATGCACACATAGCAAATAACAGTATTTTTTTTTACTGTTGTGAGCCAGGGGGAGGGCACCCTGGGATAAATGGAGGCTGCTTGCAGGCAGACAGATACCAGCCCAGGGACTCAGGACACTGTCAAGGCTGCCCCAAAGACCAAAGGAATCAAGATCTTGGCACACAAATAATTTAAAAGTAACTAACCTACCCAGTAGCTATAAGAGCAGTTCTGTTCATTGTCCAATGGAAATATAATGCAAGCCACATATGTGAGCCACATAAATAATTTAAAAATTTCTAGTAGCCACCTCAGTAGAAAGAATCAGGTGAAATGCATTTAAATAATATATTTATTTAACCTAATATATACAAAATAGTATCATTTCAACATAAAATAAAAACATTACGGTATTTATTTCTTTTTTTTTCATACTAAGTCTTCAAAATTTAGTATGTATGTTATACTGAGAGCACATCTCAAATCAGGCTAGTCATATTTCAAGTGCTCAATAGGTACATGTGGCTAGCAGCTACTATATTGGACAATGCAACACAGAGATTTAAAAAAAACTGATTCAAAGATTTCCTATCAATATATTAGAACACATTAATACTAATCTAAATGTCCTTCTTCCACTACTGCCTCTCTACATCCCCTTCCTCAAAATAAATGAGAAAACTACTAATTGTTCATTCTGTTTTTCCATCCTTTCTCTTCACTGGTAAACCAACTTTCTCCCTGCCTATCCTTGCCTCGAAACAAAACAAAACTATAACACACCACACAGTTTTATTCAGGGCAAGCATACTATTTTTCACACACTACCGACCTTCCTCTACTAGTAATCTCTTCCATCTCTGTACATTATCACTAGTAGCCAAAGAAAAATTTTAACTTGCCATGAAAATTAAGAGCCTAGGAAACATGGATTAAATTCATCCTGATGCAGACTTCCCAGAAAGATGGGAACACAGGTTCGAATTGCCACTCCCCAGATAGGTTAAGCAATGTGCCCTTATTTGCAGTCTGCAGCTTGCAGTACACAGGAGTCTGACAAGCATATTAATTCCTTACAAAAATATAACAGGACAGGAGGAATAGCATCTTTATGAATATGCAAAGCATTTAGTTTAGAAAAGTTTGTAAAATTAAAAAAACCTTTATAGTTGAACTCAGAAAAATTTTAACATTTGTAGGTAGTAGATGAATTACTGAGAGTAACCTAACTTCCTTGCTTATCCTGTACTAGAGGCCTGGTGCACAAAAATTTGTGCATTCGGTGAGGGAGGGAGGGTCCTTCAGCCCGGCCTGTGCCCTCTCGCAGTCTGGGACCCCTCAGGAGATAACGACCTGCTGGCTTAGGCCTGCTCCCGGGTGGCAGAGGGCAGGCCCAACCCCTAGGTGCAGCCCTGGTCGGGCTCAGAGCAGGGCCGATTGGGGAGTTGGGGTGCCGCCCCCTGTCATGCACAGAGCAGGGCGGATCGGGAGGTTTGCGATGCCACCCCTCAGTCACACTCAGGGTAGGGCCGATTGGGGGGGTTGGGGCACCGCCCCCCGTCACACTCAAGGCAGGGTCAATGGGAAGGTTGCAGCGCCACCCCTGTCACCCACAGAGCAGGGCCAATCAGGGGGTTGGGGCGCTGCCCCCTGTCACTCACAGAGCAGGGCCAATCAGGGGGTTGGGGTGCTGCCCCCTGTCACTCACAGAGCAGGGCCCATCAGGGGGGTTGGGGCTCCGTACCGTCAAGCACAGAGCAGGGTCGATCAGGGGGTTGGGGAGCTCCCCGCTGTCACTCACAGAGTAGGGCCGATAGGGGAGTTGGGGAACCACCCCCTGTCACACACAGAGCAGGGCGGATCAGGGGGTTGGGGCGCCGCACCCTGTCACACTCAGGGCAGGGCCGATGGGGAGGTTTGGCTCTACCCCGTCACACACAGAGCAGGGCCCGTGGGGGTGGGGGTGGGGGTTGGGGTGCCGCACCCTGTCACACACAGAGCAGGGCGGATACGGAGGTTGTGGCCCCGCCCCCTGTCACACACAGAGCCGCAGGGCGATCAGGGGGTTTGGGCGCTGCCCCCTGTCACGCTGATCCTGGTGCTGGGAGGCATATTACCCTTTTACTATATAGGATAGAGGCCTGGTACACGGGTGGGGGCCGGCTGGTTTGCCCTGAAGGATGTCCTGGATCAGGGTGGGGGTCCCCACTGGGGTGCCTGGCCAGCCTGGATGAGAGGATGATGGCTGTTTGCATCTGGTCACACCCCCCTTCAGGGTGGGGGTCCCCACTGGGGTGCCTGGCCAGCCTGGATGAGGGGATGATGGCTGTTTTCAGGCTGGCGGGTGACTGAAGCTCCCAACCGTTCCTTTTTTTCTTTTTTCTTTTTTATTCTGGGCCAGCTTTAGCTCTGAGGCTTGGCTCCAGCTCTTAGGCCTCGGCTGCTGAAAGCAGGTATCTGGTTTGTTTGGGTTCTATAATCAAAACACTGTTTCTACTCCAGCTCTGAGATCCCAGCTGGCTGAAAGCAGGTTTCCGGGGTTTTGTTTAGCTTCTATATTTGTAACAATGTTTCAAACTGCAAGCTCAGAGGCCAGCAGCGGCAGGCTGGGAACGTTGGAGTCCTCCGTCACTGAAGCAAGCAAGCCTCATGTTCGCTTCAAGCTGCCTGGCTGCCGGCCGCCATCTTGGCTGGCAGTTAATTTGCATATCGCCCTGATTAGCCAATGGGAAGGGTAGCAGAGTGACACCAATTTGCATGTTTCTCTTTTATTAGTGTAGATAATAAAAGGCTAATATGCAAATGACCAATCACTATGATGTGCACTGACCACCAGGGGGCAGACGCTTAACACAGGAGCTGCCCCCTGGTGGTCAGTGCGCTCCCACAGGGGTAGGGCCGCTCAGCCAGAAGCCAGGCTCACAGCTGGCGAGCGCAGCAGCGGTGGCAGGAGCCTCTCCCAACTCCACGGCAGCGCTAAGGATGTCCGACTGACGGCATCCCCCAAGGGCTCCCAGATTACGAGAGGGCGCAGGCTGGGCTGAGGGACACTCTCCCGAGTGCACAAATTTCATGCACCAGGCCTCTAGTTCACTATAATATCAAATAACTGCAAAGATACTCAAGTCAGCAGAGACTTTTCATTGTTAGAAAATGCAAAAACAATCAGTAAAACATAGGTTAACAGAAGAACCAGACCCAGACTCTGAAGACCTGGGTTTAGTCCTAGACAATAAAAAACACTAGGTGATCTTAAAACAAGCTGCTTAACCTTTCTGAGCCTGTAAACTAGGAGAAACAATACTAGGCTGCCTACTATATAGGGCCATTGTTAGAATTAAATGAGATACTACATTTAAAGTGTTTCTTTTAAAAATGCTTTGAGCTATGTATAAACTTCAGCCCCAAAATCCATGGGAGTCAGCCCTAAGAGAAGCACATAATATTTTACTATGTATTTCAAATAAAGTGGGATGCAGAAGCTTAGTTAAATAGCTTAAATACCAACTTGAAATTTCATTCTTAATTATCCAGCCCCAAATTTCATTCTTAAAAATTACCTGTTGGTGTCAGTTTCCTAATTTTACTAATTATTCTATAGCTTAGTTACAATATTAACATCCAGGAAGGCTAGGTGAAGGGTACATAGAAACTCTATTTCTGCAACTTGTATGAGAATTATTTCAAAATAAAAAATAATAAAAATGCATGATCTGTTGGCTAACTCGGAGTTTCCAAAAAGTTCCACAGGGAAATATGTTTTCTGTTATAGAAGAAAGCAGTGAAATATCTAAAAGTAACTGAAACAGCCCGGCCGGCATGACTCAGTGGTTGAGCATCAACCTAGAAACCAGGAGGACACAGTTCGATTCTCTGTCAGTACACATGACCGGGTTGCAATCCCCCGTGTAGGCTGTGCAGGAGGCAGCTGATCAGTGATTCTCTCTCATCACTGATGTTTCTATCTATCTCTCACCCTCCCTTCCTCTCTGAAATAAATAAAAATATATTATAAATAAATAAATAAGTAAATTCATTATATTAGACAATATAGTGCAGGGGTCCTCAAACTACGGCCCGCGGGCCACATGCAAATACAAATATTGTATTTGTTCCCGTTTTGTTTTTTTACTTCAAAATAAGATATGTGCAGTGTGCATAGGAATTTGTTCATAGTTTTTTTTAAACTATAGTCTGGCCCTCCAACGGTCTGAGGGACAGTGAACTGGACCCCTGTTTAAAAAGTTTGAGGACCCCTGATATAGTGCAATGAATACTTTATTCAGTGAATCTCTGAAATTCCAGGAAATTAGAGTTGACAATATCAGCATAGAAAGGAATAAATAAGAAGGGAGAGGAAAGAGGAGAAAATATATCGGTAAATTACTAATCCACTTAAAACTAAAAAAGCACAAATAGGAAAGGCCAACACACACACACACACACACACACACACACACACACACAAACAACAACCTCCAATTGATGTCATAAACTGCAAGGTAAACAATAAATTCAAAATTTCTCTAGGCTTTTGCTGCTATTCATTTGTACTCTTAAGAGTTTAAGAAGTCAGAACCTTCATAAGACGAGCCAATTTGTATTCATTATAGAGCAACCTTATGATACTCGATGTGTCTTATATTGGGAACATAAATAATGAAAACAAAAAGAAAGCTCATTACTATTTAATTTCAACTATATAACACAATTTGAATTTAAAGCTCATCAAGGCCAGAAAACAAACCTGCTACGAACTGTTTTGGCTTAGGCTCTTCTTCTCCCTCGAGTTTTTCCCATCTCACAGCCTCTGACTTTTTCATTTTAATTTCAATCTGCAGAAAACACCAAATAAAATCCATCATTCAATGTAAAATAGATACAAAAAATGCAATTCTCTTAAGTCATCAAAGTTTTATAAGAATTAATAGTGTCCTTGAGATAGTTTCCTTAAATTATACAAGGTTAAATTTGAAGAATTTTGAAACATTTGTTTTTACTTAAAAGCCCTTCAAAAACATACACATGTTATAAACTACAATTAAGAAGAATCTTGAAATCCTTATGCTTTTTTCTTCTAAAGCAATGTTCTCAACCAGGAGTCATACTGACAAACAAGGGACATTAGGCAATGTAAGAGACACTGTTGGTCTTTACAACTGGGGTGAGGACAAGGTGTACTACTGACATCTAGTGAGGAGAGAGTAGGGCAGGCTAGACCATACAAGAGAATATCCCTAAAACAATTATCCAGCACAAAATAGAACAGTGCCAACCACCAAGAAACCCTGTCCTAAAAGAATTATTACATTTGCATATACATTAACCTGTTTTAGAGTAGAGAAAATTCATTCCACTGTATAAAAAATAATACAATACCAACATTTTCACAATCCTTCATGCAATATTTGTTAAACACCCACTATGAGTAAGGTATAGTCTTCAGGGATATGAGAGATTTTTTTAAATATTTAAGACATGTTCTTGACCTTCCATGAAAGTTACTAAAGAGGCAAATAAATGTTCTAAAAGCTCAGGAGACATCACACCTATATGTGAACAGGTAAGGTTTCAGGGTACCTGTGAAGAGCTGTGAGAGGAAGGTGTACCTCCTATGGTGGACAGGGTAGGTCTCCAGAAGCAAAGGAAATAGCCTAAAACTGGAGCCATGAGGTGTGAAGGGGCACAGTGCATCAGGGAGTAGGGAGAAAACCAATTTACGTCAAGACCAGGATTTATGTTAAAGCAGTGAAAAATATAGATGGGGAAAAAAGGTGTAAGGCAGACTATAAACAACTCCTGAAAGCTAAACTAAAGTCACTTATTAAAATAAAATGTCAACATTATTCTAAAAGCATCTTTTACTCTTTAATCAAAGCTTGTCCCTAAAATCTACACTTACCCTAACATACACTCACATACCACTTGTATCTACCCTTTTTCCTTATTCAAATAATGCCCTCACCCTCATTTTTAGCCTAGCAAAAATCAGGACTTATAGTGATGATGAACAGTAATAATTATTATGCAAACAGTTTAAGAATCAAATTAAATTAAAATAACAATAATAATAATAAAAGAATCCAATAAAAGAATCAAATTAGAGCCATGAGAGGTTTGGATCAGTGGTTAAAGTGTTGGCTAAGGTTGCAGGTTCGATCCCCAGCCCAGTTGGGGGCACGTGTGGGAGGCAATCAATCCATGTGTCTCTCTCGCATTGATGTCTATGTCTGTCTGCCTGTCTCTCTCTCTCTCTCTCTCTCTCTCTCTCTCTTACGCTCTTTAAAAACCAGTGGGGGGGAAAAATCCTCAGATGAGGAGTAACAACAACAAAAAAGAATCAAATTAGAATTTTACATCCTAACATTTTTTTCCTAAGAAAAAGATTACTTTTATTAATAGAAAAAACTTGCCCAGCTGGTATGGCTCAATGCTTGAGTGTCGACCATGAGCCAAGAGGTCACCAACTCGATTCCAAGTCAGGGCACATGCCTGGTTTGCAGGTTCAATCCCCAGTAGGGGGCAGCCAATAGATGATGTTTCTCTTTCATCAATGTTTTTCTCTATCCTTCTCCCTTCCTCTCTCTCTAAAAATCAATAAAAACATGTTTTTAAAAAGGCAAATTTAACAAAAAGAAAAGCCTATTCATACCTTAGTTATCTGACTCCTTTAGATGAGATGAATCATTTAAATTAGCAATTACTGGTGATCGCTCTACAACCTGCTTCTAGTGTGTGAATCCTTAAAGTTTGCATTTTAAAATACCTTAACAAAACACTTATCACAGAAACACACCTCAATATTTTAATCATGAAGTGATGGTATGGAAGGGATGTGGCTTCTACGTAATCAAAATTTTTTTTTTTAGCAACATAGAAAGGTAACAAAAAATTGTTTCATAATGAGAAAACATAAGACAAATGTCACTGGGAAAGGGACAAAAATTATAGTATTCTTAATTTAACATATATGTTTAAATTATACATAAATAAAAACAATTATTTCATTAGAATCTCTAGAATTCCCTAAAATAAACTATGATTAATTTTTATAAAGTAAAATACCACCAACATTTTCTCATGCACAGTATTGCACTCTGGTTATTTTAAGTTGTCATTGCTGATATTTACCTAAAAGGGACAGAAATCGAATAGCTGGCAATGACACAGCAGTAGTACTAAAAAATGGTATTAATATTATCCTAAAATTTAAAATTGCCATCTTACTCCTTTAATTTTTGACTCATCTGGAAATGAAGACCTGGCAAGCAGGGTATACATAAACACTATCCTTAACTAGCCTCCACCACAGGGCACCCTATATTCGAACCTCATGTTTCCATGCTAAGCACTATCTATAAAAGGTTCCTTGTTTTACCCAAAGAGCAACACATACTAGCACTAGCATCTACTGAAAGCCACTATACCCTGAGTAATTGTGCAGTCCAAACAGAGAGGCCTTTATAAAGCCAAAGCTTGTAGTAACAACCTGATTCAACTGAGAAACGTTAACCTGAACTTGAAATTATACTTAATCCATTCACTGAAATAGCTGCACATAATAAACCATTTAAAGTAGCCTTTTTAAAAGGTAAAAGGGGGTTGGGGAAACTAATTTTCTATGAATTCTTTTTTACACCTACTTCACTTCTGATGTTTTAAAAATGAAGTTTAAGTCTTGATTTTGGCAAATAATTCTAGAATTGCCACCAGTTCAATTTCAGATATTTTTACTGCAACCATTAACAAATCATTCTATTTTAATCTTAGTCAAAAATAAGTTAAGGAGGAGTCAAGATGGCGGCCAGCAGGATGGCAGTGAGGGAGCACGTGTACAGGGTGTGTGTGTGTGTGTCTGTGTGTGTGTGTGTGAATGAGGGACAGTTACATCCTGCAGGAAACTCGGGGGTTGGCAGGCTGGACGCTACTAGACAAGGAGCCCCTGCTACCACTGCAGGGATTCCCAGGGTGGCTGTTCTTGCTCAGAAACCATGCCATCTTGAAGGGGAGAGCTGCTGTGACTAGAAGCCCAGCCTCACCACCACCCAGACTGGCCTCAGACGTCATCCCAGACCCTGTAGCCATTCTGGCCAAAGACATGCTACTGTAGCTACAGACCCACAGACACCGGAACTCAGGCCTCTCGGGCCGCAAGCTTCTGTGAGCCCCAGAGTGCGCTCCCCTCCCACCAACCTGCCACTTCAGCCTCAGGCCACATGTGCAACTTCAGCGCTTGGGCACTCTGGTAAGGCTTGGAGTGCACGACCCTTCCGCCAAGCCCGTTGCTTCAGCCACAGGCCCCGAGAAACTCGATGCCTGGACACTTCAGTGAGAGTAAAAATGGGGAGACAAAGAATCCCCAAAGGAAAAATAAGGAGTCGCCAGAAAAGGAATTAAATGAAACGAAAAAAAGAATTCAGAGTAAGGGTCATACAGTTCCTAAACTGGCTGGATGAGAAAATCAACAACTTATGTAAGAATCAAGAGGAAATGAAGAATGATATAGCTACAATAAAAAACACATTGGAAGATTTCAATAGTAGACTAGAAGAAGCGGAGGATTGAATTAGCGAGTAAGAAGACAGGGCAGAAAAAAACACACAAGCAGAATAGCAATTGGAGAAAAAAATTAGAAAGCAGGAGGAGAGCCTAAAGGAGCTTTGAGACAACATGAAACAAAGCAACATACGTATAATAGGGGTACCAGAAGGACGAGAAGAGGAGCAACACCCTACCTGGTTTGGCTCCTTGGCTAGAGCAGTGGCCTGCGGACTGAGGGGTTTTGGGTTTGATTATGGTCAAGGGCACATGCCAGGTTGTGAGCTCGATCCCCAGTAGGGGTGTGCAGAGGCAGGAGCAGGGATAGAAACCTATTTGAAGAATGATGACAGAAA